TTTTTTTTTTTTTTTTTTTTTTTTTTTTTTTGGTACCGGGGATTGAACTCAGGTCTTTGCACTTGCAAGGCAGGAGGCGGAACCACTGATCCAAATCCCTGACCCTAAGTGTCTTGTCTTTGAATAAAACTTTGTAGCGGCTAGGAAATGGGGGTACTACTGAATTACATACCACTCTATTACACTTGTAAAAACAGCTGTTAACCTTTTCTTTCCAACTATGAATTGGGTTCATTGTTGTCATCTTACTTTAACTCCGGTAGTTAAATGGGAGTGATTTTGGCCACCGAGGTACATTTGGCAACATTTGGAGACATTTTTAGTTGTCCTAACCTGGAAGTGTCCTCCTGGGCAAGAGGGTAGAGACTAGGGGTGCTGCTAAATATCCTACAGTGTACAGGATAGTCTCCTCCTAAAAATGTTCTGACCCCAAAATAACATTAATGCTAAGGATGAGAACCCTGCCAACTTTTTAGTAGCAGAAGACTAAGCTAGTAAAAATGAGGAGTGGAATAACTCATCCAGATTTGTGCAGACTAAAATTTTTAAAGGACATCTTTTACCAGGTGAGTGACAAGGATACAAACCCAAAACTGATGAATTGAGATCATTTCTATGTAGTCTAACCTAGACGTAAATTAAGTGCAGTATGGCTTGCTCACATGTGGATAATATAATTGACCAAATCAGGAGACTGGTAAAAATATAAGGAAAAAATTAATATGACACGACATAGAATATTCTCTTGACAACACATTCCCCCAAATAAAGCTAGCCAACAAACATGGTAAGGTGAAAGCATATTTAACATTAGCCACAATTTCCCACTGAATTGTAAGTGTAGATATCTAGACTTGTTAGAAAAGTTGTAAAGCTCATGGGCTTCTTAAACGGTTTGATCCATTTGACCTGAAAACCTGTCATAGGTGATTTATTCCTTGGCATGACACTTTCTGGCTAGATGTCTTCTAAAATGCAAATAACTGTAAGACCAAGCTCATTTGTAACATCTAGTATGAGTTAAATTGCAGGTGCAATTTCTCCCCCAAAAGCTGACCAGGAGTGGTTTGTTGAAGAGGTGCTTTGTAGTCTGTGGAATGAATAGTAGGGTGCTGGATGGTGGAGGTGTGGCTCAGGTATGGAAGAGGAGGCAGCTGGAGCAGGTGTGGGACAGGGTCCAAAAGGAGAGCTGGAAGGTGAACGAGCACAAGAATTTTGCTTCACACCTGAATATTCCCTTGTATTTTCACCTTTTCTGGCATATTTCTTATAGTCCTGGAGTAATCTTTATTTAACATGAGAGTCTTGAGAAAAGCAAGGTGTTAAAAAAAAGTGGTTGCAGAACTTCTGCTTCTCTAACGTGTATGCTGCACACCTGCCTTCCTTTTGCTGTCCAGGTCTCAGCAAGTTTCCCCTAACATCGAGGGAAAGTGTAATAGTAAGGGCATAGGCTAAAGCAGAGAACAGTTTTTCCTAAGCAACATGTATAATGTGGTGGAATATATTAAGAGCAGTGTATGCTGCTTTTGTCCACGTGAGCATGAAATTTATTCCAGATGCTCTTATTTAGGGAAAAATGAAGGTAGTAAGAAGTCCTTGGGCTTCTCCCAAGAGGTGGCTGCCTATTGGTCATGCTGTTCTGCTTCCAGCCATCAGATGACCCTGGCTTGGAGAGGCTGAGGGACCTGTCCGGTCTCATGTGAAACCAGGATAGGGTCCAGGTTGGCCTGACTCCTGTGTTGTTTGCCATTGTTACATTCTGTGCAATGTAGTTCATGAAACACATGGGTGTGATAATTAAATGGAGGCTCTAGACCCTCTAGTTCACCAGGCTCATTTTAGAAGAGGAAATGGAACTTCAGGAAAGTCTACAATTGCTGGACACAGTAGCACATGCCTGGAATCCCAGCTCCTGGAAGACTGAGTCAGAGGATTCCAAATTCCAGTGCCACCTGGGAAACAGACCTTGTCTCAAAAAAAGGATTGGGGATGTATCTCTTTGTGAATGCTCTGGATTCAGTCCACAGTATGACAGGCAAACAGACAAAATTGGCCAGTTGCCTGAGGTTGCTTGTTGGTTCACTCTCCTGGCTAAGCTTCTCGCTACTTGGCCCCTTCATTCCTAGTCCTGCCCCTCCTACAGCCTTCCTCGCTGTCTTCCCTTAAGTCAGAGCATGCCTTGTGGCCTCACTTTGGCTAGACTTGCTAGTTTCCAGACACTGAGATAGTACCGCCACTCTGAGGAGTTTTTACTAGTTCACAGTTGCCTCAGATTGTATTTGGGTAAAACTGCCTTACATTCGGGTAACCACCCCCTTGGGTAAATGGAACCTTTTGTTTAACGGTAACTAGATTCTCTCCTTTTACCTCCTAAGGTAATGTCTGGTAGGGGGTCCCACTAATTTGCTTTAGTGGACATGATATTTACTGTAATACTGTTTTTTTGTGGTAAACAAATGATGTCAGGATCTAATAACATTGAATCCTGGGAAATCATGTAATCTCGGTTTACCAATGAAAGGACAGTTCATTCATGAGTCATAGATATTACCGTACCTTGGGAAACTTTTAAGATGAATTTGATGCCAAGTGACTTCAGCCTAGAAAAGGCAACATCCCTTCATGTCATGTCCTGGGGCTTTCATTGCTTTTATGAAAATGGCTATTGTGTAATTAATTAGACAGTGGTGCAATAATCAGCTTCTTTGTATTCTCTTTTTGATTTATGACCCCATGGATGATTTTAAAGTTTAATTTGAAGATAGAATGTTACAGATATAATAAGCAAAACAAAACCATTTGTTATGGCAAAAAATTGAATGTTCATCTTCACATTGATTCTAACATATCACCCACCATCCCTGATGCTGAAAAAGTGACTTAAGGTTTCACATTATTGGAACTGTCATTTCAAACCAC